GGCCTCAGCGCGCTGCTCTGCCCGCAGGGAGCCCGCGGACGAGGAGAGTGGCGCCGCGCCGGCCGCGCAGCCCCTCGCCGCCGACTCCTGGAGGAACCTCATCGAGCACATCGGTAAGGGCTTTCTGCCCCTTCTTCCCCTCGTTCCCCCCCGTCTTTTTTCCCCTCTTTGCTTCGCGTGCCCCCAAGCACCAGGGAGAGCAGGAGCCGTGCGCGCCGCAGGTACCGCGCACCTGCGCGAGCGCCGCGCGGCGCATCCCGTCCCCGCGAGCACCAAAAGGGACCGTCTGCCCCGTGCTCATCCCGGGTATGCGGTAAGGGCTTTCTGCCCCTTCTTCCCCTCGTTCCCCCCCGTCTTTTTTCCCCTCTTTGCTTCGCGTGCCCCCAAGCACCAGGGAGAGCAGGAGCCGTGCGCGCCGCAGGTACCGCGCACCTGCGCGAGCGCCGCGCGGCGCATCCCGTCCCCGCGAGCACCAAAAGGGACCGTCTGCCCCGTGCTCATCCCGGGTATGGGGACCACGCTGGCAAGAGGCACGATAAAAACACCAAAAAGTCCAGAGCTCCCAGGCTGCATTCCTCTCATCGGCTGTGCGATTGTGCTACGACTGTAGATGCAGCCCAAGCCCTTGCACCACGACAGAGACAGGTTTTGGACAACCAGACCCCTGTGCTAACCTCCCGAGAGATCCTTTCGAAAGGCTAGAGCGCATCCTCACTCCCCTTCCTGCCTGCCAGTGATTAATAGACCTTTCTTTTTTTTTTTTTCCCTGAAACTAGAGCAGAGTAGTTCAGAGAAATCATCTCCGTACCCCTGAGAGCTCCCACAGCTTTCAGTACAGTAACGTTTACTTTAACGACACTGCAAATTCACCCTGGCAAGCATTTTTCACAACTAGTTTTTTAATCCCCTTTCCAGTTTTTAAGGGAGCCGGGAAGGGAGACGGATACCAAAATAAAACAGGATAAGCATAAAGGTAAAAGCCTTATATGGCACCAAACAAGCCCTGTAGACATCAGTCCGGGTGAACTTTAGCCTTAGCTGCTTCATTTTTAATCAGCGGACAGTGCCAAACCCATCTCCAACTGCATGATTAACCCTTAGCCAGATGATGGTAGCACGGGTTGGGGCACTAAGCAGCAGATGGAGTTTGCACAGCTCCCTCTGGCATTTTGCGCTTGTTCCCTTATTAAGTGTAAGCATCCACTACATTTTCCTATCCTCAGTGTCATGTTTAACTAATGCTCTCAGCTTCTCTCTGCTCCCAGTTTTGTTGCATGTCAAAACTCTGTTCTATCATAGCTTGTGTCTGTTACATTACCCCTGTTTTGCCATGACTTTCTGTTGCTTCATCTCCTTCTTGGCCTCTGTCTGTCCTGGCTTCTCTCCCTCTCTGTGAAAACACTGCAGGTAAAACCCCTGCTCTGCCCACTATAACTTGCTTACCCACATATAGTCATACCTTTTTTTAAATCAAATTTAGTCTTATTATCTTTGCTAGCACAACCCTTTGTGGTCCTTCCTGTCATTCTGCTGCCTAAACATGTACCTGTCTTCTATCTTTCTCCTGGTATCACCCTGCTGTTTCTTCCCCCAGCTGCTCTCTACTGTAGAGCTTCATTCAGACTCTGTTCAGTTCCCTCCTTAAAACGCATTAACCTGTGGCACTCCTGACCAAATTATTAGGGTAGATGCCTTTAGTCAGGCAGGTCTCTGCGTGTCGATATACACCTTTTATTGAGCTGAAGCCTCCCTAGGTCATCTCTGCTTGGCAGGTCAGCCAGGGAGCGTGCAAGCCAGAACAGGTTTGTTGTCTGGATTTGGTTTCCTTAAAAGCAAGAGGAGAATTTGTCTCCAAGATCTCGTTAAAGGATTGCCCTCCAGATCTGCGCAAGAGAGGCTAGATTACAAATGGCCTGAATTGCTGGTGACACGCGGGCAGACCCGCGGGCGCAGCGCGGCTCCGCGATCGGAGCGGCGCGGGCAGTCATCTCCCGCGCAAGGAGCGCACGTTACACTCCAGTTTCCCCGCGCGTTCTCCCTGGAGCCGCGCGCTGGCCGTGCTGCCTCGGGAAGTTGCTCCCCAGCCTGACGGCCTCGAGGGTGCTCAGTTACTGTAGCAGAGCCGTGAAGCTGCACCGGCCGAGCTCAGAGACACGAGCAGCCCCGCTGAGAGCAGCTCTTGATTCAACAGCTTCGGCACATCGCTCCTCGGAGAGCCTTTCCACCCCACCACATGCTCAGCACCCTCACTGGCACTGATTAAAAGGCAGGAGCATTTAGGAAAGCCATATGAGCCTCGCTGACGCAGAGAGAAAGGTTATATAAGTAGCAGCAGCATGCTGAACTTCAGGGGAAGTCTCCTCTTTGGTTATTGTGTGGGAAGCCAAGAGAAGACTGCCTGGTTTCCTAGGCACAGCTACTCTTACTGCTATTTTAATCCAGCGCTGAACGCCTTTCCAGGGAGAACAGATATAGGATACGTTCGCAGCCTGCGGTACTGCCGTCCTTGCGCCTGCGCTTTTCCCCAGCATATTTCTGCAATGGTGCTTGATATTGAAGCCTCATGAAAACTGGTCCAGAGACTGACTAGGTGGTGACAATTGTGCTCCCGTCCTCCATAGACAAAGTCCTGACCCAGTTGTCTCACTCCTTATTACACATGAAATCTGCTTACAAGATCCAATAGCACGAGTATATTTGATCAGATTTATTCTGTTTCATAAGGGATGAAAATCTATTACATTCTATTTGTCATCTAGGGCTTTTACATTTATTCATTCAATGTCTGAGATTAAAGTATAAACCAAGAGAGACAACAAAAATTGTATTCCTCCATCTTAAGTGAGGAGAGCGACTTGGAGCAGACTCATGCTCTCCCGTCTTTTCATACTTTTGAAATCAAATTTTAGATTCCAGCAGTTAATATTCTGGATCCTACAGGTGTCTCAGAAAGGGAAATGCAACAGTTAATACCAACCATATGAGAGAGAGGGGATCTTAAGTCTTCTCTACTTGGCCTAGGTGTTTCAGGATTCCTGCCTTTTTGGTACTGTCAGTTGATATCAGGAGTCTTCCCAATTTCTGTGCAGTTCCTTCTGGTCCTGGAGTTAGTATTGGAAGCACAGATGGCAGCCTGTGTTAATGATGGGCAGCAAGTTGCTCCAAATTCAGAACCTTTTCTTTGGCGCTATGGCAATCTGGAACCTTGTGAGTATTACTTGAGTATCTTCACTCATCTGAGAAGGAAGAGAGAGAGAGAGAAATTAAGCAACATGTCTAAGACTACCCAGGACGTCAGACCTGAACTAGGACCTGTCCTTTGCTGTTCTGATGATTGACCTGTGTAGCATGGCTCAGTGTTTGCTCCTTAAAGATTTTCACCTCCTTAAAAGGCTCCTTTAAAGGAGTTTTACTGTATGCAGTGTTACTTTTCAGACATATGCTCATGCTCTCCTATCTGACTTGTAACATAACAGTATTGCAGAGAATGGTAACATTTTTTTAAAGACCTTTAAAAGCCTGGCAAATAATAAATTTCTGACTGATAATGGATTCATCTGTGTTACTAACACGTGTTGTGACAGCAGACTGTTAACCTCCTAAATTCCCTTCTAGGGCTCTTGTATCAGGAATATCGAGATAAATCTACACGCGAGGAGATTGAAACCAGGCGGCTGCAGGACTCTCAGACAGAGCCGGAGGAGAATTCAGCCAGTGAGGAGACTACATCCGAAACAGAAGCTGCAAGTACACCCGAAAGCAAAGCAGCCCCTCAGATCAGTTTGCTGAGGAACTCCACGTCCCGCTTCAACTTATGGCAGGATCTTCCTGAGATCCGGAGCAGCGGGGTCCTTAGCATCCTCCAGCCAGATGAGATCAAGCTTCAGGAGGTAATGAGGGAAAGGGGAGAGTGTCTTAACTGGGTTGTTCCTTAAAAGAGTACGAGTCAATTCAATAGGAATATCATGCCTTAAAACTGAAAAAGCTTCATCATGGCCATAGGCAAGACTAGCTCTGTTGAAGACTTTTATTATGTAGTGCTGGTTAATGCTACTTATTTCCTTTGAAACTGCAGGGTATTGTTGTATATGCCATTGCTACCAGGCACTGGTAGAGCAATGAAGCTTCTTTTCCCTTTTCTGAATGAACATTAGGAGCAACCTATAAAAGAGCATAAAGAAAATGAAGAGGTTCTTGCAGCAGAGCTTTTGATCCACAGTGCAGGATGATCCTCTTCAAATGTTATTAGCAAGAAACATACTTTCCATCAAAATCTTGCAGGAATTCAACAATATTAATCTGTTTTAAAAGCAATGGGCGTAGAAGGAAAGAGATTGGTGACCTTCCTTATTTTTACATGTTAATACTTGGAGCCTGTGTTCTGGAAAAGAAAAACAACCTTTCTCTTGTACAACACTCACTTCAAAACTTCAACGGGTGCCTTTGCGCTATAGCCATCCAGCGCAGTGACATCCCCACGGGAGCATCACGTGCTGTTCATTTAGGTGGCTGGATCAAACAGCGAGGGGACTAGGTGGGGGCCCCGCTGCAGCTCCTGAGAACGTAGTTGATGCCGCAGTTTACGGCCGGCTGCCGTTTGGGCCGGCGCGGGGAGCCCGGGTGCCCTCTGGCAGCGCCTCGCGCTGCGCTCACAGCCCAGAGCGGGGCCAACGGGCCCCACTCGCGGCCGGCCCCACTGCGGGAGGGTCAGCAACACGGCTGGGGGCGACCAAAATCACTTGTTTTCCTGCTGCTTCTTCTGGGAGGGTTATTTCCATTTCAGATTTGTTCTGTTTACCTGGCAAAGCACGGTATTTCTAACTGCCAGCATTACAAACAGTCTGGCATCTGAAAAATTGCAAGCTTTCTTCTTCTTTCTGCTTCAAAGTGAAGACAGCTATTCGCAGAGAAACATCAGCTTAAAAGTTTGCATTATGGACTTGAAAAACTGCTATTTCTTTTGAGTGACATTTTTTATCTGTAGGTCTTTTATGGAAAAAGAAAATCTCTGTACTGCTGAATGCACGTCCAACATTAAGTGTGCTGAATTTTCCTCTCTCTGCTTAAATAACAAGAGAAAGGCAGCAGATGGAGATGGGACAGCGCTGCCTTAGAGAAGTGCTGCGCTTTCCCCTGATGCTAATTTATCAGAGCTGGAATTTTCTTCCCGTTTGACGTGGAATTATCCGTAAGGGATTATAAAATAGCCTAAAGCCAGAAAGCTGTGAAATTGGCTGAATACTGAAGAGAAAGAGTAGGGAATACATTGGCAAGAATAGAAAGAAAGTGGAAGCAAAGAAATCCCTGCTCAGAGCTGAGGAAGAGAGCTGGGATGGGGCAGAGCTGGGATGGGGCAGAGCTCAGCAGCCAGGGAAGAAGCTGCAGCAGCAGCAACCTGCAAAGCGACAGAGATGAAAATAAGAGAGGTGACACCTGCAAAGAGGAGGAATTCAGAGGTCATTACTGGGTATGACTGAAAATAACGAGGCAGGTCATTGAGATGGGATAAAAACAAGATGCAGTTGTTTTCTGGACAGCAAAACAAGAAACTTGACTGGAAGAGTGGAAGGCAATTGTCATAGCAATTTGTCATAGTCCGTGTTGGAACAAATGAGCCACAGAAGCAGAGCTTGGGGAAAATAAAATCAAAATGCAGCATGGCCTGTTAGCCCTGGAATTTGGGCAGCGCTCGGACAGCAATGGCCTCAGCCTTGCCAGCCCTTTTCAAATGAAGCCAGTGCAAGAGTGGCAAAATGTAAAATAACAACTGGAAGTGTCACAGCAAAAAGGAGGAAAAAAAAGAAAAAAAAGTGTGGGCAAAAGTGCAAAAAGAAGAACAAAAGAACTAACAATGGACATGTTACAGACCACAGAGGTCAGAGAAATACAAAATTACACAGAACTGGAATAATTATCCAAAATGACTAAATTGCTGATGGGGAACTTTAATTGCCCAGACATCTGTTGAGCATCAAACACAGCAAAGCACGAATCATCAAGGATTTTTTTTTTATTGTATAGAAGATAACATAATGATGCCGAATATAGAAGAAGCCAAAAGCAAGGCTTTTGGGGTTCTGACATAGAGTCATCTTGGGAGAAATGGCAGCAGCGTGTGTGTGGCAGGAGAAACAAGTGACTAGAGAGGAAACTTCCTTCCTCCATTACATGTAACGCAGGTAAAAGGAATTTGTCATCGTGGTACTAGCTCTTGAAGAGGTGGTGGTCTACACATTAGAAGAATTAGCATTTAATCAGTGAAACTTCTGATCTCTGCTCAGTTCCCTACCTTTCAGTTTGTCCCTGTTTTATATTCTATGCAGTTTCTTCATTTTGCCCTCTTCCTTCTGCTTGCTGCCCATATTGATTTTCCTACTCTGGATTTGTCTTACGTGTTTTAGGAGATTGGAACTGACCAAAACAATCTATTGATAGAAAAGTTTAGCATTGTATTCTCGGACTTTGAACTGAGCCATACTCTGCTGAGATGTATGAGCTTTAATAAAGCTTTTGCTGGAGGGTTATTTGAATTCAGGTTGCTTTTGTGTTAGAAAAAGGGGTAGAGGGACAGACTAACTGCACCTGCGTAGCCCAGAGCAAATCTGGATCAGAGAGCAGTGCTGCTCTGAAAACCCTCCCTGCTCAGGCCAGGGAGGGACCTGAACCCCATGTCTGCTGCGGCCACACAGCCTCTCTGCTGCAGGTAGGCAGCCTGTTGTTTGCATTCCACTTCCACAAAAACAGCCAAAAAAGATTTAATTTCCTCTCCCGTGTTCAACAAACCTAAGATATCAAACCTGTAGATTTCTTGTGAAAAGGAGCTGCCCGTCTGACCGCTCTGCTGGCAGGGGGAGATCAGAGGTGCCACCTGAAGGCAACCTGGGCCGAGCCCAGAACGTCCCTCCCAAACTGGAAGCTCCCCTCTATTAAGTAGTGCTTTATGGAAGATCAGAGCAGGTGGCAATTCACGTTTCCAATCTATATGATAAAACATCATCTGTGTTTTATCTGTACAATTACTCACTTATGGTTTTGGTGACTCTAAATTTTCTCCTTTTTCTTCTACATTTTCTTCTGTTTTTTTTTTTTGGCTTCACTGTTCTTTCCCTCTCTCGGTCTCTCTACCAAAATAATAAGAAATGAAAAAAATTAAATCTGCTTTTATGTGTATGACTTAAATTTCAAGTTCCTGAGCTTGGGACTGATGGCGCAATGTTGGTCATGTTTCCAAGGGATAGTTTCAGGCTGTTGCAGACTCAGGCAGATTTAACTGCATCAATTGACATTTAGTTCAGATTTTCTCTGGTTATTTTTGCAACTCTGAAACGAGAAGCTCTTTAATTTAGTGACTGATTAGAGCCAGCAGAATTCAGTTATTCTGCAGAGATGTCATCATTCTGTCGCATAGTTGGATGTTGGGTGCCCGTTGCGATTTGTGGCTCGTGGTTACCATTCAAAAAGGAAACAGCACTCTGGGCTGTTTGGGGTAGGTATTTGGGCACTTGGGAACCGCAGAGGACAGAAATGAATTTCTTTGGGTGTGGGTGCAGGTGCTGGGAGGTGTTCTGCAGCTGCAGGATGGGAAACAAGCTTAGAGGTTTATTTGGAGGGCTGAGGCTGCAGCAGAGCTACAGGCTGTGATCCCATGATCAGAGTCCTGGCAGGAGAGAAGTCCTGCCTTGGAGCATCTGGAAAGCTGAGGTGCACAAAGACTGGCAGTACCAAGTCCCAGAATATTTGCCCGGGACTTGCTGCTGTCTCAGCCCATCCTCTCTTATTCTTTGTCACATCTCGATCTGCTTCCCTTTCTCTTCTGACTTACCATTAAGCCTATGAGTGGAGCATTTAGCAGACTCAGCCTCTGGACGCAGGTTCTCACACTTTGGCGAAGCTGTTCAGACAAGCCAAGCTGATCCTCTTCCCCCTTCCTCACTGGGAATCCTTGAGAAGAAAAAAACATCCTTTCATTCCTCAAAGACAGCCGTTAGGAGTACACCACCCAAGCATATTCATCACCACCCGCACCCTTTGCTCTGTCTCCCTTCTGGGGGCTGCTGCAGAAGACCACCTACTTGGCTTGACTTGGTGCCACTGACAGCATTTCATTGGCTCCCAGCCCCACAAAGACCTCCATTTAGCTCAGAAAGGAGCTCGCAGTTGTCATTTTAACTGATCGGGAACGCACAGCGCCTCTTCATCAAGAGATTTCTGAAGGCTGTAATGATTTTCTGCCATGTTGAAGCCCTTGTGAGAAGCTTAATTTAACCTTATTTCAACTAACGGAGTCACTATTTGGGTCAATAATCATCTGCTTTATCTATTCTGCACAGAGACAACAAACATCTAGAAGGCAAAGTGAGCTGTGTGTGGTGATAACTGACCATCCCTGCAGCTGCGGGCAGGAGGCTTTATATCCTCAGCTCATTATGTTAGGATTTATCTCTGAACTAAACCATTGGTTGGTCCTTCTGCTACCCCAGACCACAGCCCTGGCTCAGGGAAGCCAGACTTTTCACCGCAAGCTTCTCTTAACAGGAGAAACCAATGCTAGAGCTGGGAGGTTATTTCTGAGTTGCTGTAATAGTTGGAGACTGGCAGGTTTTCTGCCAGACCTTGTTAATTGAGGCAGAGAAGCATCAGTGCAGGGTCGTCAGGACCCCTCACGTGGGCAGTGGTAGTGGCCCAAAAGGGATTCTCACCTCCCTATGTGCTCCCCTTTCCCTGCCCAGGCCATGCCTAGGACTGTGCACAGCTTGGATGCCCCCTGTAACACAGTACGTACCTCTCCGTAAACGCAGAAACTACCTGCTCACTGCTTCTCTTTGGGATTCTCCCCCAGGCCATGTTTGAGCTGGTTACGTCCGAAGCCTCCTACTACAAGAGTCTGAACCTGCTGGTGTCTCACTTCATGGAGAATGAGCGCCTGAAAAAGATCTTACATCAGTCCGAGGCTCACATCCTCTTCTCCAACGTGCTCGACGTCATGGCTGTTAGCGAACGGTAAGACAACTGCTGCTGGGCTTTGGCCAGCTGAAGGGGCCCCTTCCAGATTACCTGCTTTGTAGAGAGGGAAGGAGGGAGCTGGCTACATGAGGCTGTTCATCACAGCCTTTTCAAGAAGCCTGTGGACACATTTGAGGATTTCAGTCCCAGGGGCTTCTGCTGGAAACCACCTGGGACAGGGAGGTGATAACTAATTTGAGCTTTGGTTTCTCCTTTAGGTTCCTGTTGGATCTGGAGCAGCGGGTGGAGGAGAATATTGTGATCTCAGATGTGTGTGACATTGTCCACCAGCATACAGTTAATCACTTCTCCGTGTACATCACCTACGTCTCCAACCAGACCTACCAGGAGAGAGCTTACAAGCAGCTTCTGTGAGTCCCAGTGCTTGATGCTAAATGACTTGCCAAAATTGTCTAGGCCACAGGTATTTATTTATCTGTAATTTGGATATTTATGAGAAAAGCCTAGGAAGCAGGAGTTTGCTCTTCTCTGATTTTACATTGCACCTATAAAAAACAAACACAATTAAAAAGCTTTATAGTAAGGGCATTGTGATGTAGTGTGTAAGTAACAGAGCAAGTAAATTCAGAACCAGCAGCTCCCAAATGTGGGAAATATTTACAGTGTGCATGGGAACAGAGAGTTGTGAAACGTGTGTATTTTTAAACTACAAGTCGAGACAAGAGATAGAAAGGCCAAGAACATAATCACAGCTCTCAGATAACAAGAGCAACCTCTGCTCCCCCTGAGCTTCTCAGCGGGGCCTGTGATTGTCCCAGAGCTGAGAAATCTTTTTTCCAGAAGAACAAAATTTTCTTAAAATCAAAACAAAAACAAATGATCAAAACCCAAATCTGCAACCTCGTTTTCCTCTTATTCTGGTAGTACACGTCAGCCAGTACCTCAGCTGGAGGATACAATCCGAGACACTCTTGCAGCATTTTTCAGGTTTAGTGAGTCTTTTGGTCCAGGAGGAATTGTGTTCCACCAGCCCTGTGAGCCTGTCTTTCAGCACGAGATTTTTTCTTAAGTTACTGCGTCCCGGATTTTTTCAGGACAGCCCATTGCAGGAGCTGCCCTGCCTATTTCCTCTCTTTTTCTTGGCAGCAGCTGGTTCAGGGGAGTGTAATGAGCTCTAGTCCTTTCCTTTCTCTGCTCTCCAGCTTTTGAGGCACCAAAACACTAAGAAGCCTCTGCCACACCTGGCTAACTGTTCTGTTCAATGCAGGGTACCACAGGGTGTTCCTGAGTCAGAGGTGAGCAAAAGAGCTGCAGAGTATAAGCAGTTCACCTAGAGCTGTTAGATAAACCCGGAAATTAATTAGCAATAGGTTGGATTAAGCAAGCTTGAAAAGGACCTGCCTGGATAGGGATTTAGAGAACAGGATTTTCATTGAGGGAGACTATCAAGTGAACTGAGAAGAACAGACTCTTTTCAGCTGCCTCCATCCAGGAGGGTCTGGAAGGGCCAGGGGGGTTTCCAGCACCAGCCTGCTCCTCTGTGCCCTTCTCAGGCCAGATACAATTTCCATTTTCCTGCTAAGCAGCCAAGGGTAGCCAAGATTGAGCTGTTTTGCGGCTTGCCTTGCTCTTATGACTCTGTGAATTTCATCTTGTCACAGAAATCCAACTGTTAAAACATATATAATTACGCTGCTGACTCATTTGCTTGGACACACACCCCATTCACACACACCTACGTGCACAGTGTATGCTGCTAAGCTAGATGTGCTACACATGTGAACCCACTACCATGGCTTGTACATTAGAAGTCTATTTTTTTTCCATCCCCCAACACTATAAATAGTCCTGGGTTTAAACCAAAATACACCTAGAAGCATTCAGTCCCCTCCTCCCCTTTTTTGTTCTTGAGAGAGGCCTGGCAGATGATGTCTCTGAGACTGGGCTGCTTTTGAGTCACCACCTACGCAGCAGTGACGGGCAGGGTAGCACTGAAAACCCTCTCCTCTGTCTTCAGCCAGGACAAGCCAGCTTTCCGGGAAGTGATATCACAGCTGGAGCTGGATCCCAAATGCAAAGGCCTCTCCTTTTCTTCCTTCCTGATTCTGCCATTTCAAAGGATCACTCGGCTCAAGCTGCTAGTGCAGGTAGAGTTTTGCTCTTCACTCATACTGAGGGTCTTCTGGATCACTCCCAGAGCTCTCCACCCAGCAGTCACCTGCAAGGCTTAGACACAGCCAAGATCAAGCCCAGAGCTGGATGAAGCCCTTCCAAAGAATCAGACGTTCTCAGCACCTGTGGAAAAGTGTTCTCAATTCCCCAGAGACCAGCTCCAAATTCATGTTGGATTATCTACATAGCTTTTACTGAACAAAAGAAGGGAACTTCATAGAGCTGCTAAAAGGGGCAGCAACAATCCCCTTACTCCAGCATCCTGACGGTAGGACATGGATGTCTGGCTGCACAGTGCACAGTAGCTGCGGGACATGGGAATGCTCCATGTGTAGTAATCCCACATCATTGTGGGCTGGACCAGGCATCGACAAGCCCTTTTATAGCAGCTTTTCCCTCCTCTGCTTTGCTGGCATGTCTAAACCCACTGCTGGAGGACATGATCTTGAGGATGAGGAAACAGTTTGCTCCCAAATGATCTTGCTGCCCTCAAATTACCAGTAACACTATCTGTTAGCACCAGCTCTAGTGAATATTTAAAAAACAACAACAACAACAAAAAACAAAAACCAAAAAAACACAAAACCAGGCATCTGCCTGCTATATTCCTTTTGGATCAAATGGAATAATGGTCAGATGGGAGCAGCATTTAATGAAGTACAGGAACTAAGAGGTGAAAGTCACTGTGCTTCATCACCCTCCCTGTAATTAGGCTGACGGCCAGAAATAACTCTGAGGATAGCAAAGGCTTTTCTGTGCTGTTGGAGTTAACACAGCCTTTAATCCCTTGCAGAACATTTTGAAGAAAGTGGAAGAGAAGTCTGAGAGGGAGTCCACTGCCCTGGATGCACATAAGGAGCTGGAAACAGTAAGTTTGAGAGAGCTAAATGAAGGCCATAAACCATCAGTAAAGACTTCCAAACCACATTCACTCCTGGAGCTGTCCACTTGAGGCCTGACACTGCATTTCAGGAGTGGTTTCTTTTACATCTTTCTTGCCATCACAAATGGACGAGTCTAGTAGCTGTTAGATGTCCACAGTGAGGAATCCCCTGCTAACAACAGACATTTACACTTCCTCTCTAGGAAAGGGCAGAGAGTATTTCCCCTTGAGGGTCTTCAAGAACACAGACTGTTTTCACAGTATCTGAAGGTGATGGATCCCACGGAGAGATGTAATTAGCTGCAACAGGCAGCGGAGTCCAACTGTGTCAGCTCTCCTCCAATATAGCACCCTCCCTCCCCGGCCAAAGAGCAGCTTCTTAATGAAGTGCATTAAGTGCTCAAGTCTGTATTTAGCCCCTTGCCTGAAGCAGGTAGTTAGGAGGGATGAACAGGCACAGTTCAGTTCTGCTAGTTACTGCTGTGCACAACACACTAGGAAGGTGTTCGGGGTGTTTTCCATTTGGGCTGTTCCTGGCATGGTTAGATAGGGTGTTGCCACCTCCAGGCTACCTTACTGAATGGTGAGAAATTGCCAGCAGCCACATGGGCTGGGACAGGGGGCTGCAGGGACGGAGGTGTTTGCTGCCTGCTTCATCAGGAGCTTCTCCTGAGTCCCGCAGCTCAACATAAACATTTTAAGTTGAAAACCGGGGCAGGACATCAGCTTCAGGATACGACTGTGGCTTCTGATTGAAGTACTAGGCAAAAAGTCAGCAACAGGGTCTTGGATTTGCCCTTAACTAATCCTGGGACAAAGGAGACCTTAGCAGTGCTAAGTACTTGCACTGCTTGGCATTTGCAGAGTCCCTTGATCCCTTGTCCGGTATCTGGTAGCCACATGTTTCTGCCCTGGCCAGAGGCCTGGGGAAGGCTGTTATTGCTGCACACAGATGCCTACAATTGCTGCTAGGGAAATATTCTTCTTGTATTCATCTATTCACTTGAACCATTTCACAGATTCCTTCATGTGGCCTCTTATCTGTAAATAAGAAAGTTTACATGTCTAACTTGCAGCTAAATACAGGTATTAAAACTGCGGCCAGAAGGGTATGTATTTTCTCTGCAACTGTCCTGTTTGCTAGGTAGGGGCTGAGCACAGTTTCAGTCACTGGCTTCTCAGTAGCAGGAACACAGCATGCAGAAAGTGGAGCTAATTCTCCAGCATAATTTTTCTAACCAACCAGTTCTCCAGAGATTTGATCCTTACGAAACAGGCAGTGGCATCTAGGTTAAGGTCCCGGTGTCTGGGTACCGCCCGCGCGGTGGCCGTGTTTTTTCGGTCAGGCGTTTGCGCTCGGGCCGGGGCTGGGCCTGCGCCGCGGCCGCCTCCTCCCCGGGGAGGTTTCACAGTCCCGATGCCGGGGCTGCTGGGCAGGAGCGCAGCGCTCGGCTCGCGCGCGTCGCCTTCGCTCTCTCCTTGGGGACAATACCGCGCGTGCTGCTTGTTTTAATGCTGGGGACAAAGGTAGGTGACATGTCCGGGTCTGGCAAATGGGCCTGTCCCTTTGCTGCGCAGCCAGCAGTGCTGCTTAATACTGTCCGTTTTCATGGCTCTGTGTAGTCAATGCTCCCCACAAGCTACAGATACATGGCACAAAGGGGAGCTAGACAAGCACCCTACAGCTACCTTCTTGTTCTGCCAAGGCAGTGTTTGCTCTGTTGTGGCCACATTTGAACCGCCAGGGTGCGATACAGCTGAGATGAACAAATTAACCCATGTGAACCCCCACCAGTGCCGTTTTCCTGAAAAATCTTATGGAAATACCCAGGATAGCAGCATGTTAACATCTGCCCTTTCCCCAGCTGTTCACCCCCGCTTCCTGGCCTAGGCCATTGCAGGTAAATCCTGCTCCTCTCCTCTTTCCCCAGGTGGTGAAAGCGTGTAACGAAGGGGTCAGGAAGATGAGCCGAACAGAGCAGATGATCAGCATCCAGAAGAAACTGGAATTTAAGATCAAGGTATAAGCATGGGCGGGTGGTCTCTGCAGGGATGCACCAGCAGCATCCAGGTGCTGGGCACGTGCGTGCACCACCAGTAACCTGTATCACTCCTCTCCTGTGAGAGCTTGGCAGCGGCAGGACCCTGGCCTGGCCTGGCCTGTGCTGTCAAAATGTGGCTCAGCTTTCAGCTATCATTTTACAGTACAAGTAACATTGAAGGAAGATTAACGCTACAAAGTAAAACATTTCAAAGCTGGAAAACACCAAAATAGAGGCTGCCACATCATTTTAATTCAACTACCATGTATGCATTATGTACACTCTCTTAATTACCTGCTAATGCTCTATTCTGGCTCCACTTAGGTGATAACTCAGTTGATCAGTATTTACGGAGTCAGAGCAAGTATCACTGAATACATGCCAGAAAACTCTAGGGCTGAGCATAAGGTTGCTGGTTTTTTTTTCCTTGCCTGCTGTGTGGATGCTCCCAGGTCTATGCATTTAAAGTGTATATTTAAACCATTTTACATAGCCGAGTAGCTGAAGAGTCTGCTTATTTGGAAGACCCCAGTGGGCACCCCAAAAATTTGAATTTCCAGGCTGCTCAAAGTGGAAGAGGCAGCAGTTAGACTGATATTTTCCAGTATTTCAGTCATTTAGCTGGAAGCGAAATGTTTTTCTAATATTAGATGGCCTTTGGGCTGGGTTTCTTGTTTTTCATTTAATTACATGATTAAAATCCCAGCCAAAGTACTGTTGTGCTTTAATTGCATGGGCAGAACTGGATCCCAGCTGGGACAGAGCCAACCAGTGGGGACCTGGGGTTTTTTTGGTAGCCAAAAGGTCCAAACGAGGTTTTGGGGGACTGCAGCATCCCTGATCGGACAGGCACAGCCGAGGTGGGGACAACGGCGCACACCAACCTCCCTGTGCTGCTCTGGCCCTTTCCTGCAGCACGAGGGGTGGTGATGGGAGCCCGATGCTGCCCTTATGCTGCAAGAACCATGACACGCAGAAGGCTCAGCTGCGTTATCGCCTGATCTTTGCTCTCTTTTCCTCACATCTAGTCGGTGCCCATCATCTCGCACTCCCGCTGGCTCCTGAAGCAGGGGGAACTGCAGCAGATGAATGGTCCAAAGACATCACGCACGCTCCGTACCAAGAAACTCTTCAGGGAAATCTACCTGTTCCTTTTCAATGACCTGCTGGTAATTTGCAGGCAAATTCCTGGGTAAGTGCAAGGTTGCAGGGGCACACGGAGCACTTGACACATCCTGCTTGCCCGTGGGTTTATTGGCATCCTGGGCACCCCAGCCTGGCCTGGGCATCCTCCTTTGGTCAGCAGTCATCTCCTTACCTCTGAGCACCCTGTGCTCATGGTGGCACAGCTTCCCCCGGCCCAAACTCTACTGCAAACTTAATGAACTTAAAGAGCTTTCAGCTGGGTCTCCCACCAGGGTAAGCAAGCACTGACCCAGCAGCTTCTGCTGAGCAGCAGTGAGTTGAATCAGCTAATGGGCTGACCCAGGAGGACTACCCTGCTGGCAGTGATTCTATTTTTTTACTCATTGCTATCCCGAGAGTTTCTCAGATTTGGCCAGTTAAACAACTGAAAAAACAGTCAGAAAACTCTAAGCAAGAGGCCTGAGGCTAGAGATTGTATTTAGCATGATATAACCTGCCTCAGGAGGAGGAGAAAGTCATCATTCCTCAGCCCATGCCTCGTGCAGCTACAGATTAGTGAAATCAAGCAGCAGAGACAGCCGACTCCCAGAGAACAGCCTGTTCTTAGTGACATTGACTAGACTTACCAGTAGGGAGCATCTCACCCGTCCAAAGTTTCCAATGTAGCAGCTTACGCTCAGAAGACACAGAGACTCTTTACAAGCAGGAGCAGTTGACCGTGCAGGCGCCTGTGCGGCAGCACCGTCTCCGTTTGGCACACGGGCAGCTCAGATGCGGAACAAGCCGCTTGCTCCAGGCTGCACAAGAGGCTGAGGGGCTCTCATGGTGCTGTCCCCAGTACAGTTCTGGGTGGCTGGAGCCCAACTCTCCTGTGGTAACTGCAGATGTTTCCCGTTCTTCTCTTTACCCGCTCCCAGGGACAAGTACCAAGTGTTTGACTCCGCGCCCAGGGGACTCCTGAGGGTGGAAGAGTTAGAAGACCAGGGGCAGAGCTTGGCCAATGTCTTCATCTTGAGGCTGCTGGAGAATGCGGACGACCGGGAGGTCAGCTACATGCTGAAGGCATCGTCCCAGTGAGTATGACACGGGTGCCCCGCACACTCAGCTGTGCTCTCTGGGCAGCTGCCCGGACTTCCCAGGTGGATTCCTGGTTGCTGGCAGAGGCAGAAGAGGCCTCTTCCTTAGAGCCTTTTGCAGCCCTTGTGCTGCTCAGGGCCTCCTCCTCAACCTGGTGTTCTGGCTCACTGATTATTCCCTTCAGGTTCCCACAAACTCAGGTCAGGCTAACACAGCTGTGGTTGTTTCGGAGCTCAGGGCTTTCCTCACTGGTCTCAGTTTCTTACTGGGCGGTGGGTTTGCAGGCACAGCCTCTGCACCGTGTAGGTGCAGTGTTTGTCTGCACCAGGGGCTACACAGCTCCTGGAGATGCCGTGTGCCCTCAGCTGGATGCTGTGTGGCCTTCCAGTGGCCACCATCTGACATCCACGTGCCTCAGCCAACACCAGCCAGGACTGGGATCGTTGCCCAGCTCATGCTGCAGGCCTGGGGTTGTATCCTAGCCCCTCACCGTGGCGTCGTGCCTGGGGCAGGCGGACGAGCTGGCAGCACTGCAAGCAGCTGCAGCTTCCCTCCAAGCAGCTGACTGTTGCTTCGTTTTACTGAAAATGGAGACATCAGTCACAGTACACAGAGCAAACACGTTGGATGCTCATGAGACTGAGCTGTGCAGAGACTGACAGAGCAGGCCGGGCTCAGGAGGCAGCCGCGTTTTGTGCATCTGCAGCCTGCTCTGCCTGCGCGTAGCCCCTGCACAGGGGCGCTCGGGGCGCAAACCAGGCATCGGGGCAAAGAAAACTGAGGAAGTAACGGAGGCAAACGAGTGCCACAAGGAGATTGGTGCATCCTTCAGAGGAGCTGGGGCTACAGGGCAAATCTGAAGGGCTGCCATCCAACAGGCAGAAAATCCAGGCTCTCTCAGGACCTGGGGAGACACGAAGTGCCCTGCTTGCGAGAAGGGCTGGAAGCGGCCTCGAGGGAGTGCCCGCGCTTGGGCTTCTCGAGCGCACGCGAGATCTTTGTGCGCTGCCAGCAGGGTTTTACATTTAACAACAGCGCGCTGAATCCAGCGGGGCTCTGTCATCTCATCCGCTACCAACCGCGCGGTGCCCTCGATTCGCTACGACCAACGTCAGCCTGCGAGGGAACGAAGCCACTCTGCCCTTGAAACGTCCCCACGTGGCAGCTGTGGGAATAGATGGCTCCTCTAACCGCGTTTCCCCAGGAAAAACAGCACCTGTGGATCTAACAGAGCTGGAGCTGCCCCAGAGGCTGCACTGCTCTCCGAATCCTGCTGCCCCCCAGCAGCAGATCCGGCTGCATCCTGGGGCCACAGCACAAACCCCCCTCCATCCTCTGTTCCCCTCCAAATGGCCACTGGGAAAGTCCTCCACGGGCCCAGCACCACCAGCAGGTCCAGGACCCCAGGAAACAGGCAGGCCAGGCTGGGAGAGGAGGAATTCGGCTGCCGGGGAGGTGCAGGGTCCCTAAGACTGTGTCTCATTCACTACCTTCATTTGTCTTCCCGGTGCAGGAGCGAGATGAAACGCTGGATGATTTCGCTAGCCCCAAACCGGAGAACCAAGTTTGTTTCATTTACCTCCAGACTCGTTGGTAAGAGCTGCCCTCCCTCCAGGGCCCTTAACGGCTTGAGGGGCTGTTTGCAGGGCAAACCCAAAAGCCCTCAGCCCCGCATGCGCTCCTGCTTCTCTGTCCCTCACTCTGGCCCTGCCCTTGGCAGACTGCCCGCAGATCCAGTGCGTCCACCCCTACATGGCCCAGGAGCCAGACGAGCTGTCCTTGGAGCTGGCTGACGTCCTCAACATCCTGGACAAGACGGATGACGGTAAGCGCGAGGGGCCGACCCCGGGCTCCCTGCTGGAGGACAGGGCTTTGCTGCAGACAGCCGGGTGAGACCCTGGCACCGCAGCCAGAGGAGCTGCCCCCTCCACTGATGCTCAGCAAGGCTGCCCTGACCACAACCAGAGCTGCCCTTACCTTGACAGTGCCTCGCCTGCGCCTGGTACCAGCCCCTGTGGCACGCACTCTTTTCCAACTTTTCTGGTTGGAGAATTTGGTCGTGTTGGTCTCTGGCAGGGATCACCCCTATGGCACCAGGGACAAGCTGAGAAAGCTCAGGGGAAGCAGAGCAGCTGCTTTTACTCCGGTTCTGGGCTCCTGTCCCTTTACCCGCTCCTGTGAGCACAGCGCTGCCTCGGCGGGCTGGCCTCCTGCTGCCTTTCCAGCTGGGTCTCCTCCAGCACAGGCAGCTTCCCGAAAGCAGCAGCAGCAGCTCAGAGGTGGTTTCGCACACAGCTGTCCCAGCACACAGGCCCTTCCTCCCCACTTACCCTTTCTCTCCCTCTGCCCAGGTTGGATATTCGGGGAGCGCCTGCATGACCAGGAGAGGGGCTGGTTCCCCAGTTCTATGGGGGAGGAGATCCTGAACCCCAAAATCCGAGCGCAGAACTTGAAGGAGTGCTTCCGGGTGCACAAGTCGGACGACAGTCAGCGGAGGAAACTGGGCAGCCGAAATCGCCAATGACCGACGGCGCCCACGAGCGGCTCCGTGCGAGCGCAGGGACCGCCAGCTGGGAGGACGCGGTGGCGGCGCTGCGGGACACGGGGACATGCCACAAGCAGGCGCCCCTGAACAGCTGGACTCTTAGTTCCTGGGCTCCCCTCTGCACGCTCCCCACTGCGCCAATCCTGTTCTAGAGACTGGTGCTCTGACCCAGGTGTCCCAAGAGCGGAGCCGGGGCAGGTGCTTGCTGCTGAGCCCGAGGACACGCCGGGGAGCTCTGGGCTTTCCTAGCAACGCGCTTCAGGGAGCGGAGACCAAGGTGGCACGGTGGCTGGGACGCATCCCCCAGGGATTCCGATTCCCAGTCCCTGTGCTATGGACCCCGTTCCTCAGGGCTGACCCTTTATCTGCCCTGAACATGGCCTGATGTTCCCTGAGCCCAGCATTGCACCCCCATCCTTTCTGCTGCCCACGGGAACACAGCAGGGACCAGCCTTGAGGCTCCCAGCGCAGCACCCCGCCTCCCAGCACCAGTGGCCACCCTGAGGCACGCAGCGCTCAGGATGGAGCTGCACACCAAGGAACACTCGGAGCACTGGGCAAGTGACCTGCAGCGGAACACTCGTGCAAACTGTTTTCGCACAGTGGTACCAGTCAGCGAGGCTGCGCAGGGTCCACTTGAGCCCGAGGGCTGACATTGACCCAGGAGCACGGCAAGCACTGCCTGCATGCGTGTAACCCCTGCTACCCAGCTGCGTGCACAGCCGCCGTGCACCAGCTCGTCTCCCTGTATATAAGCACCCCCTCTGCTGCCAGCAGAGCTGGAGGATCGCTCCTTCCGCTCGCAGCACTGAGCATCGCATGAGCATCCCCGGGCACAGCACCGAGACCGGCCAGGGAGGAGGTCGAGCATGAAGCACCCCTGCAGCAACCGCCTGTTCCAACAGCTGCAAAGCAGAATCACCGCACTCAGCAGCGGGAGCTGGCTCAGGGGATAGGGAGGGGTTGCAGGTGGGGTGGGGAGGTTGCAGCTGCCCTTAGGGCCTGTCCCTATAGGCATCACAGCCCAAGGAGCATCAGCCCTGCTCCTGCAGCTGCACTGCTGGAAAGCCAAGGGAGGTGTCACTCATGCTGAAACCACATCAGTGGGAGCATGTGGCAGGAGCCTGGGGGTCCCGTACCTGCCCCCAGTGCCTGTACCACCCTAGGGAGGTGGTTGGGTGCCCAGCCTCACACCTGGGCCCAACCCAGGGCTTGGGGCAGGGAAGGGGATGTCCCCCACTTCAGGCCACAACCACACTGCAGAGCCAGCTTTCCACAACAGAATTGAACTTCCCGCTCTGACTGTAGCTTCCCCAGGCAGAAAGCAGGGGAGCTCCAGCTGTAGGGAGTCTTTAAGATACCTGAGGAAACGATGCATTCCTAGTCCTCTGCCTCTGCAGAACAGCCCCTAGCCCTGTAAAGGTGTTGCTCACACCCCAGAACAGTCACTCACCCAGCAGAGCAAGTCATTGGGCAGGGCAGGCACAGGGCTGAGCCCTTCCTGAGGGACCCTGGTTGCCCACCCTGCAACTCAACAGCAAGCCCAGGACTCGCTCTAGGCCCCTCGCCCCCTCCTGGGCAGGAGCAGTGCCATTTTTGGGCATGGAGCAGTGGTCACAGTTCCTCAGCCCCACACGCTCCTTGTGCAGGGTCCGATGCTGCCCCTGAGGTAAAAGGACCTTCTCGGTGTCTTGTTGCCCTTGTGATGAAATACAGCTGAGCAAGCCAGCACCCACAGAGCCCCCGCCTCTTCTTCCTCCCGCACACGCCCAGCACCACCCCAGGATGAGCGCCCGCCCGAGCTCCCCATCCCTGGGCCCAGAGGCACCCTCAGCAGCAGCGTCCCCCCGCAGAGCAGGGTGCGGGCAGGAGGGAGGCAGCAGGTGATGGGGACAAAATGCCTTTATTGCTTCAGGAAGCTGAGAACTTCCTCAGGGTAATGACGACCAGGGCCACCAGCACGGAGGTGCCCAGGAGGGAGGCGATGACGATGGCACCGATGGCTCCAGGCCCCAGGGACCCTGTGGGGAGACATTAAAAGGGACAAACATGGGGCCTTCGCTCACCCTGAGGCCGGTACCCTGCTCCGGTGTGCCCCCTCCTGCCCTCGTGCCCCCTACCGTCGCTGGCGTCGAGGCGGTGCAGGCGGGTGGTGTCCTCGGCCTCGGCGGTGCGCGGCGGGAAGG